GGGAATAGCCTGCACTGGCCATCGGATGATGAGAGGAAGCGGCTGCAGAGAGCAGGGGCTCCCCCCTTCCGTGGCAGTCTCCTCCCGGGCAAAATAATGCACCCTTAGAGTTCCACTCTGGATCTTCGGGCTTCTGCAGTGACCCGAGCAGGTGGTCTGGTGGTATGTACCCGAGTCCTGGTGGCATGGGCTGTTCCTGTCCCCTGAGGTCCCAAAGTCGTACCCGTTGGGAGCAGATCTTCCCCTCTCCATTGCCAGATGCAAGACCGTGTATGTACCAGGTCATGTCCTAATCAGAAGGCCGAGCGTCCCATGCATATGGGCAGCCGAAGACATGAGCTCCTTGTTCCTCTGTCTTTCGTGGTCTGTATCTTAGGGGTGTGGAGGGACCACAGCAGGATGTTTAAGCCAGTCCTCCATCTCTGGCCAGGACCAACTTGAGTGTCCCTTCCAGGCTGCAGACCCTCGGTGAAAGAGTTCCACGGTTGGCTCCGTGAATATGGTAGCCCCCCACCCCCCTATCCACAGTTTGTTACCCACGGTCAGCCGTGGTCCAGAAGCAGGTGGCCCTCCTCCAGAGAAGGTTGGTGTAGCCTCACACGACGTCAGACGCCCACGTCATGCACCTCGCTCACTCCATCTCATCACCCAGGCACATTACCTGCTCACACCATCACACGAAGAAGGGGGAATTCAGTACAGTAGCATATTTTGAGCGAGACCACATTCATGTAACTTTTATCACAGTTTATTGTTACAATTGTTCTAGTTTATTAGCGGTTATTTTTGTTAAATCTCTTACTGTGGTTGAAACTTTGCCATAGATACGTCTGTATAGGGAAAATTTGTATGTGTGGGTTCCATACCGCCTGTGGGTTTGGGCATCCACTGGGGTCCTTGAACGTATCCCCCACAGATAAGGGGAGCCACCATGTTCCCTGGGCCACGCTCTGTCCTGAGCACTGCTAGGGGCAGCGAGGAGAGAGGCCTTCCCTCCAAGGTTCAAGGCTGAGCTGAGGAGGCCGGCCTGCAGGCAGGTGTTCAGGGGGCCGGTGCTGGGCTGGAGGCCATGCAGGCAGGGCACAGGCAGGGCAGCCGGCTTTCATCTGTGTGAGGAGAGCAGGGTGTGCCCTGGGCCACCAGCAGGTTGGCTGTGACGAGGGAGCCCTTCCGCGGCCAGAGCAGGTTACAGAGGCCCAGGGATGGAAGGTACAGGGTCTGAAAGAAGCGAGAAGGAAGTTGACGTGTGTAGGGACCTTCGCCGGCGCCTGTTTTCCTTTCATGGAAATGGGTGAATAATGTCTGTTCTCATGAGTAGGTTGGGATCAGAAGCTTAGAGTTCCAACCCAGGAGATCCATAATCAAGGGGAAGAAGAAGGCCCTTTCATTCCAAGGGAACAAAACAGGCAGCAGAAGCAGGATTTGGAGAGAAGCACCAGGCCAGGAGTGTCTAACTCCCCGCCTTTTCTGAGACACCCTCATTGCACCGACTCCTGGGCACCCCCAGATGAACGAGGCCCTGAGAGCTGATTTGGCAGAGGTGTGCTGTGCCTGCAGCTGAGGTTCAGAACTCCCGGGAGGAGGGTGGCGTGGGTCTCAGTAGGCACAGAGGCCGGGGAGGAAGCTGCGGATGGGCCCCAGGCCAGAGAGGCCAGGGCTGCACATTCCCCTCTGCTGTGCCTGGAACCTTCCGTGTCTTCTGCACTAGCCTGAAAGCCCCTTGAGGCCTGGGCTGTGTCTTCCTCACCCACCCCCTGCCTTCTAGGATCCCCCAAATATAACAAGCTCCCCTTAGGCTCTTTTAGTGAAATACGACTACTCTGGATCGTCCAAGGCCAGTTTTAGCCTCGAGTCACTGTCCCTGCAGCCTGCAACAGTTTGAGGCCACTGCGTTGCAACTAGCCAGGCAGCGGGCACTCAGGAAAGCGGCCTGGTCTCCTATGAACCGGAGGGGACTGGGACGAGGGACGCTCGGTCCTGCTGGTTTTGAAGAACCACGTGCTGTGCTCCAACGCCAAACGCACGAGAGCTTTTGTGTCCCACCGAATATTGCTCCTGCTCTTTGGTGGCATAAGGGGGGGCAGAGGGCATCCATAATAATAATAATAATAACGGTGCTCTAAGTGTTAGACTTCACAGGTCACGGGCTCCTCCTATCCGTTTGCTGCTGCCACCACTCAAGGAAACGGGTCCCAGAGAGGTTAAGCAGCCTGCCCAAGCTCACACAGCTTGTAAGTGGTGCAGTGGGGATTTGAACCAAAGTAGCCCAGGCCCAGAGCCCCCAGTCTTAATGGCTGTGCCACCTCACCTCTGGAGTTTGCAAAGCCCTTCCAAAGAGGAGATGAGAATTTGGAAGGGTTGCCATCAGAGGCAAGCGAGGAAAGGGAGTGTCTAGCAACTCCTACAGTGAGCCGAGCCCTCTGCAGCCTTGGTGGGGCACAGCAATGGAGAACGGGGCTCCAGGGGTTGGAAGGAAACGCCAGTCTGAAGGCTGCACGCAGAGGGAGGCCGGGGTGGGGGCGCCTCGCCCGAGCCCACCTCCCAGGCCCCCACTCCCTCCCTCTCTCTGCGGCTGAGCTCCCACCAGATGCAGCCTCATAGCCACGCCCACCCACCTACGTCCCCGGGGACCGCAGCTCCTCGGGGACCTGGGCGCCAGGACGAATACCCGCCACACCAGACTCCCGACTGACTTCTCTCCCCATCTTAAAACCCCAGCTCCCGCAGTCAGGCTGTTTCTCTGCCGTGCCCGCTGAGAATGCATGTGTTTTAAAGCTCTGAATGGCCCATTTCGGCTCGGAGTCCAGATGCATTTTTATACCCGTATGGAAAAAATGCAGAGGCTCTGTTGGCAGTCAGAAAGAGTTTTTTAAATTAAAGTCAAAAAGAAAAAAAGGGGAAAAAAAAGTTTCCTGCACTTGGCCCTTCTCAGAAAAGCGCAGCTGAGAACAAAGCGTTTCTGTACTTTGACCACATGTCTCATTTTAAAAAGATGCATGTCGCACCCAACCTCCCACCAGTGGTTTTCAGATTCAGTTGTTGGTGGAATATCCGCTGTGGGCGAGCCCCAGGGCTTGTTGCGTGTTCATCCCACAATTAGCCCATTTTACAGATGAGGAGACCGAGGCTCCCAGTGGGGCATCGGCCTTACCCAGGGTTACCTCGACCGCCGTAACAAAGTACCACAGGCTGGGTGGCTGAAACCAACAGAAATTGACTATGTCACAGTTCTCAAGGCTAGGAGTCCAAGATCAAAGGGGCGGGAGTTATTGGGTTCCTGTCAAGGGAAGTCTTTTCCCCACCTCTCCCTCAGCTTCTGGTGACAGTGACATTCCTCAGCCCCTGTCTCCACGGGACACCCACCCTGCATCTGTCTTCATGTGGCCACAGTCCTAGTGGGTTAGGGGGCCCGCCTTCTCCAGGATGCCCTCACCTTCATTGGACTACATCTGCAAGGACCTATTTCCAAATCGGGTCACAACCCGAGGTACCAGGGGCATGGATTCCAACATCCATTCTTGGGGGAACACGGTCCAGCCCGTAACAGTCATGCTGAAGGCAAGGGCCAGAGGTGGATCGGTTCCGGTGTGGAGCTCTCCTGGGCATGCACTGCCTCCGTGCAGCATGGGGGAAGCAAGAGGGACGAGCCCCACGGCCCCTCTTCTCGTACCGCGGGGTGCTGACTGCAGCCCAGAAGCACAGACGAAGACGCCACCTTTAGCCACTGTTGCTTCCCGTGCTGACAGGCACCCGGGGCTGGCCCTGTCCACACCCACCACTGACCCGAGGCCTCTCTGCTGATAGAAGGAAATTGCAGATGTGATAAGTTGGCAGTAACGGCACAACCAGGACGAGAGCTAGCATCTATTGAGCACTTACTGTGTACCCCCATACTGTTGTAGGCGCCTTCCATGTTAACTCTTTCTCATCTCCCATGGAACCCTTAGATTGGAATGCCATTAACATTCCCATTTCATAGACCAGGAAACTGAGGCCAGAGAGATTCATTAACTTACCCAAGGTCTCGAAGCGAGGCAGTACAGGACCTGCCCTGCCCAGATGCGGTGGCTCCGGGGTCTAGGCGCGTGGCCTCTCTGAACCACGGGAGAGCAGCAAGACGAGCCCCTGGGCGGTGCCACTTAGCTTGGGCTCTAGCAACGTTTAAGGGGGAGCTCGCCAGGACCGCGTGGTTCCATTCATCGGAAATGTCCAGAACAGGCAAATCCAAAGAGACAGAAAGCAGACTAGTGTTGGCCGGGGGCCGGGGGAGGGTGTGGATCGCCCACTCCTGAGTGTGGGGTTTCTTCCGGGAGGATGATGATGAAGCGTTCTGAACTTGACATGGTGACGGCCGCACAACTCTGAATATCCTGAAAACCAGCGAACTGCGTACTTCAGATGGGTGACTTGCACAGTGTATGGGTTACATCTCAGTAAAGCAGCCCCAAACACCAGAGAGGGGAGTAGGCAGAACTCAGATGCCAGGAGCAGCGAAGAGCAGGAAGACAGAGCTGCTGAGCCAGGAGAAGGAGCCAGCACCTGGGAGGGCAGGGGCCTTCCGGAGGCTGAAGGCAGCCTGGCCTCGGGCAGTGGAGAGAGATGGGGGACAGACTCCTCAGGGCTAGTGAAGGACAGGGCCACCAGGCAAAAGCAAGGGGCCTGTGGCCCCTGGCGGCCCAGTGGGAGGTGAACCGGCTCATGGGGTGGCCCTCCCCAGACAGGACACAGCATGGGAAAGGAGCCGGCCGCGGGCCCGGGCACCAATTACAGGCGGTTATATTGATGGCATGGTCACTTGCAGCTGTCTCCCTGGGAATGTAACCCGCTAATTGAGTAAAGTGCCCAACAGCTCCCACACCCTCGCCAGAGAGCAGGTGTCACAAGGGCTAGAACCTGGCCTTTGAGCTTGAGGTGCCGGCAGGCGGGAGGGGGACAGGATGCAGCGTCTGCGGTCGGTCTCCGCTAACTCGCAGTTCCATTTCCTGCCCTTGCTCCCCCAGAGAGCCTTCCACGCACTGTGTCACAGCACCCACCTGTACGGCCGGAGACTGGTCCTGGAGTGGGCCGACTCGGAGGTGAGCCTGCAGGCCCTGCGGCGGAAGACGGCCGAGCACTTCCACGGTAAGCGCCGGGGCTGCCGAGAGGACTGCTGTTGGGCTGCATCGGGCGAGATGCCGTCTCCTTCCCTGCGTGTGCTGGGTGCCCTCCCTGTGCCCCCCAGATCTGCTCTCCACCTCCCTTTCCCTGCTTCACACCGAGAAGCTGATCTGTGTGGACGGCACCCGTAGCCTCCATGCCCTTTAGCTTCCGGCTGGGTCGGGTCACTGGGAGGCCTGGCAGGAAATTGGGGAGAGGCGGAGACTGGGGTCAGGAGGTTTATCCCTTCCCCATCCCCCCCTCCCAGCCCCTGCCTTCCATCCTGCCAGGTGGCTGGCTGGCTGACACTGCCACCCAAAGCCACGGCTCACATCTAGTTGCCCTCTCTACCCGGCACTTTCTCTCCAGGGCCCCGTGGCCAGCCTAGGGGGTCACTCACACTGAAACCCCTGCCCTCTGCCACCTCTTTGGTGGACCCTCCTCGGTTATTCCGTTTGAGGACCATCCACTCCCTACTGGGGGCCTGATGGTCACAGGACCTGACTCCACCTCTTACACACTTTGGTAGCATCACGTGGCCTCGGTGATTACTCAGTCCGTCCCCAGAAAATACTCAGTGAGCACCTGCTCTCTTCTGGCCCAGGGGTGAGGCTGTGACCTAGCTGGGCGGCGGGTTTGAGCGGAAGAGGCCGGATACATTACTTGAGTGGGTGGTCTAGAAAGGCCTCCCTGCAGAGGTGACGTTGTGCCCACGAAAGGGCTGTCTGAGCAGTGGGGACCTTGAGCTTGGCACCTGGAGAAGCAGGGAGGCCAGCGTGGCTGAAACAGAGAAAGTGGAGAGAGTGGGGGGCTGGCTCACAAGGGGCCTTGTCCTATCCAGCAAGTTGCTGGGGAATCAGGCAGGAGGGGATGAGGGAAAGTCCTGAGAACACCAGGCCACAGTGGGCATGTGGAAGGCGTGGCAGGTGCCCCCAACTGGCCCTCCCAGTGTGCACCTCCGCACTTGGGATATCAAGGGACCTTTGAACTTGAATCCCATTTCCATACCTCTCCCACGCATCTCAGAAGTGCGTTCACGGCCAGGCAGTAAAGGGCAGCTGCTAGCCTCCCACCCACTCAGGATCCTATTGGCTTTATGACGGCTGCCCAGGAAGTGGCCTTACCCGGCTGGGAATGCGTCTCTTCCTCCCACCTGCCTGGGAAAGCCGGGCTTGGTGACTGGGGCTCCGTAGTCTCAGCCACGGCATTGGCCACAGCTGCTCTGAGGTCTCAGGTGGCAGGCTGCCTTCCTCCACCCAGGAGTCCCAGGGACAACTGGAGGGTTCACGGCTCTCGGGGTCTTTCCTGGGTGGGCCAGTTACCCCAGGCGCCTGCCACTGCTCCCCTCACCCATCCCCACTGGGCAGCGGGGAGCCAACAGTGTCACCTGGGGCAGTCTGGGGGTGTTGGCTACAAAGCCCGTGTGGGGATGGAGCCTGGAGCCAGGACGTGATCATTTACTGTCCCAGTCAGTGGCACTCTGTTTCCCCGGTCGTGCAGCGGCTTAGGGGAACCCCCAGAGGAGGCGGCCCCGTATGGGGTGGCAGTTTTCCAGTTGGGCCTCACCGGTCTTGCTCCGGGCTAGCAAGCAGGGCTTCCCAGCAGTGTCTCAGGGATGCAAGACTGCGCCCCCCTCAGGTGTGCTACGAATGCCACAGAGACAGGGACGAAAGCCTCTGGCTGTAGTTCAGCCTGCCAGACCCTTCAGAATATGCCCTTGCCCTGCCCACTCCAGGGGCCTCTTCCAGCCTAGTCCCACCAAACCTCCCCGAACGCCATGCGGTGCTCTGTGTCTTCCCATGTGTTCTTCCCTCTGCTCAGAATGCTCGGCCCTCGAGTTTTTATTAAGCAGGCAGTGCCTCTGCAGCCATTAAGGCCCAGCTCAAATGACACCTCCCCCAGGAAGCCCTCCCTTTCTCTGCCCCCCTCCTTACGTATCAGTAACAGCTCCATTCTCTGCTCTCCCAGCTCCATTCCTGTACTTCCGTGCCGTGTCATAATTTATTTCGTTATGGTTTATCCTCACCGGACTAATGCCTTTCCCCGCATGGAGACTGTGTCCTCGGTTCCTCTCTGGGCCCCCGTGCCTGGCACAGCGTCCAGCACAGGCCGGGCCCTGCCCTCCGTCTCAGGCTGGGGAAGATACCAGCAAAGGCGCACGAACAACCAGAGAAATCAGGACTGAGTACACAGTCCCAAGCTTACAACTCAATAAGTCCCCAAATCCTGACGTGCCGAAAGGGAACCTATCCATATCGACAGCCATTGACAGGCCCAAATGCACCCTTCGGCAAATGTTTGTGTAAGGGACTCGGCCTGCTGCTCTGCACCGCCCACGCCCAGGGCCGGCGGCCTGCAGGCTCAGCAGTTCTGCCCTGCGTCGGAGAGAGCCCCCTTCAATAAATTGAGTTCCAGAGACAGCATTATTGCCTCACCCCAGCGGAAAGACTCGGCCAGGAGCATTTCTGTGGGATCGGCTGTCTCCGAGTATCCGCTGCAGGCCGCTGCCCAAAGAGGCCAGGTACGGCCACAGCAAGAATAGAGGCAGGAGCTTCCTTCCACACACCTGCCCCTGCATTCCCCAGCAGCCCTGCCGGGTAGGCATGATGAGCCCTGGTGTTTCGTTTTGTTTTTTTAATTTTAAGATTTTATCGATGTATTTGAAAGAGAGCAGGGGAAGGGGCAGAGGGAGAAGCAGACTCCTTGCTGAGCAGGGAGCACCAGGGATCAGAACCCTGGGATCATGACCTGAGCCACCCAGGCGCCCTTTGATTAGCCCCATTTTACGGATGGGAAAACTGAGGCCAAGCAAACATTGAAGTGACACGTGACAGCTACTGTTTATTAAGGACTCACTCTGCACCGGGGCCCATCCCCAGTACATGACCTGCACCATCTCACTTAGCCTCGCGACGTCAGTAGCAGCTGTAGGCACTACTGTCTCCATTTTATAGACAAAGAAACTGGGGCACGCCCACGGTCACGCAGCTGGAAAGGGGCAGATGTGAACTCCAGGTCAGCTCTAGAGCCTCCCACCCCACCCCGCTGCCCTGTTCTGCCTGGTACTAGCAAATGCCATTTCCCGGAAGTTTGGGGCCTTTATTTGATCTGGGGCGTATGAGTGTTTCCGGCATGGCTTCCCTCATCCTGACTCATCCAGACCCTGAATGTAGACTCTCCTGGGTCCCTTCCAGAAATGGAGGGGATGAATGACGATGATGGAAAATGTCAGGTGGCCCTCTGGAATTGACGCAGCATGTCCTCATAGAAGGCCCTGTGGGGTGCGCGTTACCATGTCCCCACTTATAGGCGGGAAAGCTCAAGTGCAAGGTGAGAGGAGAGCCCCGAGGTCAGTTTTGAGGGTCAGCCCAGCTCTGTGTTTGGACCCCCTTTGAGTCCCCCTGGAGGAACATTGCCCTCTCAGGTTCTGGAAGGGGTCATGAGCTCTGAGCTAACCGAGTGTGCGGAAATAAGTGCTACCAGACAGACCCTGCCCACATCAAGGGCAGATGGGCAGGGTCCCACCAGGGAACAGAATTTACCCCAGGGGTTGGCAGGAAGAGCCTGGAATGCAGAGGTGAGGGCAGGGGCCAGAGGTGAGCAGTAGTGAGGAGCAGTCCTCCCATCCCCAGGGCCTATAGGGACAGGCGGGGAGGAAATGATGTTCCTGGGGTCCATCGAGAGCAGGGCCTGCAGACACTTACTCAGTCCCCTAGTATAGAGGGCTACAGCCAGTGCCCAAAAATTCCGCAAAGCAGGGGCGGGGGCTGTGGGAAGATACCTGCAGCTCCCTCCCCTCCCACCTCTGCTCCCCTCTGGGTCTCCCCTTGGCCCATTGCATCTGTAAGCCGGAGGGCCAGGTCCCCTAGGGACACCTGCCAGGGGACAGCAGGGCAGAGGTTGGATGGGGTGGCACCGGAGAATATCCAGCCCATGTGCTGCCCACAAACAGCAGGGGTGTGGCTGGGGTGGGAGGCCGGCCAGCTTTGCTGAGGGGAGGCCTGCCATCTGGAGGGGTATCTCAGACGCGCACTCGCCTGCATGTCAAACCTCCACACTGGCCTCACCTGTCTGGGTTGAGAAGAGGCGACAGAAAGGCAGCCTGAGAGTAAAGTCATTCCCGGTAGGTTGTTTCCCAGCACTCTCTCAAAGAAACACATGATAATCCTCGGAAAACAAAAGAAAGCTCTCTCCAGAACATAGCAAGATAAGACACAGGGATTTGTACCCTAGAATCCGTGAAACCTTGTCTTCGTGGATCCTAGTCTAGGGCTGGCCTCAGAGGAGCTGTGAACACCCAGAAATGTCATCGGGGGGGAGGGGAGGTGTGCGTGCATACATTCGCATGCACGTGTGTGTGCACATGTGTACATCTCTGGCAAGAGAATCTGTTGTCATCAGATTTCCCGTAAGCTCCTGGTCCCCAAAAGGTTGGCTATAGGAGAAAGAGCGTTGACCTTGTAATCAAGGAGACCCGGTTTCTGTTGCTCCCTGGCTAAGTGTCCAAGGAGGCGTCAGTGTGCCCTCTGGGCTTCCGTTTCCCCTTTCACCAACCAGGGAGGCTAACCAAGGCACCCACTGCCTTATAGAATTGTCCTGAAGATGATCTGTGAGTAACAAAAGCATCAGGAGCTGCCTTGTTGGTTTTTTTCGCCCACAGGGCACTCCTCCCCGCAGGGCACTCCCGAGGTAGAGGTGTGTGTCTTCCCATTTCACAGATGAAGGGAGGAGGCGATGAACTCGCTTGCCTGGGGTCACGCAGGCCGTGAATGGTGGAAGCCAGGTTCCAGCTCGTACAGTCCGGCTTAAGCGCCCTGTACTCAGGGCAACGGCTCCATCCGTCCTTCCCACGTTAGCTGGACCCTGGGGGGTGAGGGGCGAGTAGACAAGTCGGCCCAGAACAGGTGCTCTGGAGCCCGCGGTCCCTCCTACCCACCCACCCCATTGTCTGAGCTCTTTGGGGAACGGGCGGTGCCCCCGCAGCC